AAAACCCAGACTGTCCTGCTATTTACCCATAGCTGGTGGGGCACTTCGAAACAGTGTACGGATTATCAAGCTTGTCCCGTTATAACAATTTACGACTGAATAGTGAGTTCGATCCTCACTGGGTGCCCCGTACTTTTGGCCTTGTGCCGCATCTAAGCTATGCTTGGAAAATCATTTTGAGCACTTCCACGTGGTGTAATGGTTAGCAAGCTTGTCTTGCATGATGAATCACAACTGGATAGTGACTTTGATACTTACTGGGTGCCCCATACATTCGGCCTTGTGCCACGTCTAAGATATGCCTAGAAAATCATTTTGGGCACTTTGATATCGTTTAATGGTTAACAAGCTTGTTTCGCTAGATCAATTACGATTGAATAGTGAGTTCGATCCTCACTAGGTGCCTCGTATTTTCGGCCTTGTGCGACATCTAGGATATGCTTAGAAAATCATTTCGGCACTTGGACGTGGTGTAATAGTTTGCAAGCTTGTCACGCTTGATGAATTATAACTGGATAGTGAGTTCGATCCTCACTGGGTGCTCCTTACTTTCGGCCTTGTGCCACATCTAATTTACACTTAGTATATCATTAGGGTATCTCGAGGTGGTGCAATGGTTAACAATCTTGTCTCTCTAAAATAATTACGACTGAGTAGTGAGTTCGATCCTCACTGGGTGCTCCATACTTTCGGCTTTGTGCAACATCCTAGCTACGCTTGAAAATTCATTTTACCCATAGCTGGTGTGAGAGGAAGAAGAAGAGGATTCATACCTTTTCTAAGGTTATTAGCAACTAAGTGAATGTAATGATTTCGACTGGTATTCGGACTGGGCTCTCCTATTGCTCATTGCGAGTCGCTATCCATTCTAGGACAATATCTTACTGGCATGACTGTTACAACTACGGTATTGAAGTCCCGAATACAGCGTACAAACACCTCTTGAATGATGCCACAAATGGTGATGGAGAAACTGTACTGTGGGATTTCCCGGTCATCACAGACAGAACAATTGATGCAAATTGACCAGATATATAATCATAAAGGATTTCAAAAAAGGAACCAGCCAAAGAACTGATATGATTTTCCTCCAAGATTCCAATGTTTCTAAAAAAAAAAAAAGAATTTCAAAAACTGTCAAATTAAAAGGACCTGTAAATCGAGGTAAGAAAAATGTGGAAACTTTAACCCATTAACTGCATTTTTGGCCCAGACAGGTGTCTTAGGAGTTTATTTATTCCTTATGTTTAATTTCAGTAGTTACCATTGTCATTTTTATAGAAACTAGAACATCAAATATATATGTGTATAAAATATCAAAAAATAATATTGATTAGAAATAATAAAAAATACTTTTCAAAATAGTCATTATTTTTCTACTCATGAAATGTAAAATTACGACAGAAAGTGTCTTCTTACGGTTAATAATAAAAACTTTAAAGGCTCAGTGTTGTAAAATATACCTCTGCAAATGCAATGTATGTAAGCAATTCAGTGTAATTACAAGGAATAACATGTAGTGAGTTTAATTTTAACAAATCCCCAAATGGGGCTCAGGGCAGGTAATGGGTTAAACTACGATTATCCCAGATGTCATAGGGGTATTAGAAGGGTGAAAATGTTGGGAGTACACATCAGAGAATCATGAGCTACAATAGATTACTTTGTACGGATCTACACATATCGACGGTAAAACCCTCGCCATCTAAATGAAACGTTCCAATGTGCATAGATAACTCTCCTAAATCGCCCGCACCGATTTACTCATAAACTACGGGCGAGGAGGTTTCGTAATTAGGCGCTGATACCACAGACAATAATAATCACTTTTTCCGATGTGAACTGTTATTTGGAATTTCTATTTTCGGCTCAAGTTTGCCAGCCACGCACCGTTTGAGCTCAGCAACGTTTTCTTACTTTTCGACTTATAGTTCCGCGTCCTGGGTATGACGATAAACTACATCCCCATCCTGGGCATGACGATAAATTACGCCCGCGTCCTTGGTAAGACGATAAACTACATCCCCATCAATGGTAAGACGATAAACTACATCCCCATCCTGGATAAGACGATAAACTACATCCGCGTCCTGCGTAAGGCGATAAGCTACATCCGCGTCCTGGGTATGACGATAAACTACATCCGCGTCCTGGGTATAACGATAAACTACATCCGCGTCCTGGGTATAACGATAAGCTACACCCACATCCTGGGTAAGACGATAAACTACATCCGCATCCTGGGTAAGACGATAAACTGCATCCGCGTCCTTTGTAAGGTGATAAGCTACATCCACGTCCTGGGTAAGACGATAAACTGCATCCACATCCTGGGTAAGGTGATAAGCTACATCCACATCCTGGGTAAGGTGATAAATTACATCCGCGTCCTTTGTAAGGTGATAAGCTACATCCGCGTCCTGGGTAAGACGATAAACTACATCCGCATCCTGGGTAAGACGATAAACTACATCCGCGTCCTGGGTAAGACGATAAACTACATCCACGTCCTGGGTAAGACGATAAACTACATCCGCGTCCTGGGTAAAGTGATAAGCTACACCCACGTCCTGGGTAAGATGATAAACTACATCCGCCTCCTGGGTAAGACGATAAACTACATCCGCGTCCTGGGTAAAGTGATAAGCTACACCCACATCCTGGGTAGGACGATAAACTACATCCGCATCCTGGGTAAGATGATAAACTGCATCTGCGTCCTGGGTAAGACGATAAACTACATCCCCGTCATGGGTAAGACGATAAGCTACACCCACGTTCTGGGTAAGACGATAAGCTACACCCACGTCCTGGGTAAGACGATATACTACATCCGCGTCCTGGGTAAGACGATAAATTACGTCCAACAGTAAGGCCTTACCAACAATACATTTTTGAAAAACAAATATTACCAGCAATGTATTTTTTGAAAAAATATATTACCAGTGAAAGAAAATTCTTACCAGAAATAGATTTTTGAAGGAAAAAAAGAAAGATTTTTGAAAAAAGGAAAAATAAAAATTGTCAGAAATAAGATTGAGGTTGATAAGCCGTAAAACATGATAAACCAAACTTATAGTTTCACACTTTAATTCCCCTTCTTCAGACCTTTATAGTTAGAACTTGCCATTCCACATTCACGGAGTCTAATCACCAAAGGTTCCCCCGGAAGAAGAAAGTTCCACGACTTCCCGAGAACTGCTATTCTGTAGAGAATACTCGAGCATGAATACTTTCTAGAACAGTACAATTTTAAAATCTAAGGCCAGCCGCTATATGTCCTCCTCATTCTCATAATCCTCATTTCCTTCTATCTCTCCCTATTTACTCTTTTGATTTGGTTCTACAGAAGGATACTGAGGATATCATGAAAGAAACGCGTGAGGAAAATGAGAACTAAACGGCCACTTGTGTTTAGAATAAAAAAAACAGGAAAAATTTAAAATTAGGAAATAAGGCTTGGAGAATTTGACACTTACAAGAAATATTGAAAGCAAAAGAAGTACAAGTGGTAGAAAGTAACCTACTTAAAATCAATGGCAGAACAGGAATAGTAAGGGAAAATATTGCTAACAGATATAAAGAATAGGAAGGCGTGGAGAGACATGATCA